CATGATCTTTTCAACGGCTTCACATGCGTGTGAAATCTGGGCATAGAATAAGGAAGCTTAAAGAAGAATGGATGCATGTGAATTGTTGTGCTGTTGAAGCAGGAATGGAGAGATCTCATCACACATACTTCGGACATGTTGTCAGGAGAGACCAGCTCTGAAGAAAACCATGCTGGTAAATTAGTGGGGCAGTGAACAAGGGAAACACCCAATGAGATGGATTGACACAGTGACTCACCAGGGGGCTCACACATACGAAATATTATGAGGATGGTGCAGGTCTGCCCACTGTTTCATTCTGTTGTAGATAGGATTGCTAGGAATTGGAACCAATTTTATGGCATCAAGTAACAATAACTTTAAAAAATAAAATGGCTGTCTTTCTGTTGTTGAGGCAAAGATATTTTCCATAAGTTTTATTCACTATATCATTGACAGCATTGCTTCCTCCAGCTTTAGGCTCTCTTTATAGTATTTTACTTAAGTCCTTTGATGTACACAAGCATTCAATTTTTAGAAGATCCCAATTATTGAGTTTAACTCATCCTGATTATATATATTTAGTTAAAGACTGCTTCTGTCATAAATTACAGGTCTCTGATATATCTTGCATTAGTTTTGGTATATGGTATAAAATATGGGTCCTCTTTCAGTTTTATGTAAATGTATATACCGTTTTGCCTGTACTATTTGTTAAAGAGACTGTCTCTTTATCAATTAAGATACTTTGGTCCTTTGTCAAAGATCCGTGTCTATAGGTGGATGGATCCACTTCTAGATCCTCAAATCTGTTCCATTCATTGTCCACTAGCAGGCTGTTTGGACTCCCATGGGGGTGAGGGATATAGGAGCGTTAAGATCTATATGTGTGAAGTCTCCTACTTTGTTCTTCTTCTTCAATAGTGCTTTGCTTCTCTCTGGTCTCTTTATCTTTATATAAAGTTAATGACTAATTGGTTTTTTTTTAAACCTCATTAAAGAATGCCAATGGAAAATAATCCAAAAGGATCACATGGATGCTTTTATTTAGCAAAAGTAACAAATTAGGATGCTTTAGTTTTTCACTATATCCTCCATCTATGTTTATACATTTCTGAATTTGACGTTTATAGTTCTCTAATCCTTCTGTGAAGAATTCTGCCCTTTTGACTTACACCAGGTCTTACCAATAGTTTTGACTTCTTTGATGGGACTCAAATCATGTTCCTTTAAAATGTTCTTTAAACTCAAGGTTTAAATGGAGTGGGGGCTTCAGGGTTAAAATCAAGGCTGTATGGAGGATAAGTAGGTTTCTCAATGCAATACCCACAATGCAATTGCAACTTTGAAGAATGAACAGATGCATCATCGTGTGAAAAAGTCCTCGGTTTAACCAGCTCCTGGCCTTATTCTCACCAATACAATTTTCCACTTCATTAAAACTTCTTCCTAACAAGCTCCCATGGTTGTTCTGCGTCTTGAGAGAAAACCTTTTAGGATTATGTATGTCTGGGAACCCAGAAAAGATGTCTTAGGGACCTCCTTGCCTTGGAATTTAACTGTCCACCTAGCAGTTTTCCTTGGAAGTCACTGTTTTAATTAGACTTATTTTTCTGAATACACCTTAATATGGTGAAGACAAGTGTATTCCTGAGATATTTTGCCTGCAGTCATCTACTAATTGCACAGTCATGTTTAAATATGTTTTGTTTAGAATATATCTGTGTATATATGAACTGGAATGCAAGTAGCAATATTTCAAAATTTTACTCTTGTATAATTTGTATAGATTTCTTATCAGGTAATTACAATGCCATTTATAGATCCAAAATATCTGGGCTTGCAGGGTAGGCATGCTACTGTCTCCAGGTTGACTTCCTAGTGAGTCAGAGTGGGAGTGCAGGTCTCTGATTTCTGGTTGTGTACACGGTCTGAGGGCAGCCTCGGTTAGTGTTGACTGTCACTGGTCACTTGGTGGGGCAAGTGAAGTTGTGCATCCAGGTGGAGGGGTAGTAGGAGTGGCTAGTATGACTTGGGAGGATTGCTGGCTCCTAACCTTGATGATCAGGTTTCCAAAATAATCTTTCATATCTGAGTCATTGTTTACTCATGTCTTCATTGTAATAGAAATGTAAAGAGGCATCTGAATAAGGCATTATTTTCGACAACTTCCTTCTATTGCTTATATTTCACTGGAAAGAATCTATTGTCCTTTAAAAGATATTGTATTGCCATAAGTTGCAAGGGATATAATTTTATGTTTACTTAAATATTTCCATTAACGTGGTTATATAATAATAATTATGATGCTATATACATCTTCTATCAATTTATAAATATTTGCCAACTTTTGGTATAATTTTCTTTCTTTTTTTAAAAAATAAAAACAAAAAACAGTAGTGTTGTGTTGTCATAATTGTATTTTATTTTATCTGATTTCATTAATTTAATCTTTTTTATTTGTTAATGTTTGTTCATTTTATTGACTCTTAAGTTGAATTTATTTAATTATTATACATTAAAAATGATGTTTACTTGGCTCTATTATTTTTCCATACATGTATATTTTTGGCAATACCCTATTGATTGTTAATTTGAACTCAACATATATTTGTTAGTTCCTTTTAATTTTATTTCATATATAGTATTATTTTACTTTGTTTTTCCATTTAGCTTGGAAGTTCATTAGAATGTTCAACATTTTAAATTTTCTTAATATTTTTATTCCTGGTTTTGTTACATTGTGATCAGAGAACTGAGATCTCTATGTGTTTATAATTTACTGCACTGTGTAGGCTATTCTTGAAATAATTCTAGTGAAATTCTGTGAGATTTATAAGAGAATCATAAAGCCTCTGATGTCCTCTGACATATTGCGAACTGTCTCCAAGGCTGTACTGTATGCGTGTGTAAGACGGCAGAATCTCAGGAGATGCAAAGGAAAGGCCTAATTACATACACATCTTGGCAAAACAGGAGAACTTTCGTCATAAGAAAATATATAAGACAGATTGTCACGTAGCAAAAACTAGATCTGAGCGAGACATTTAGCATGTGTTCTTCAAAAAGCACACCATACATCCAATGGCAAATGAAAAGCTCTTACTGGATCAATGTTTGAGCACATCCTCAGGCCAATCTCACTGACACAGGAGCAAGCCCTAGGAGGCAAGGATTACAATAAAAATAAAACAGAACAAACAAACAAGAAGCAGAAGCATCAGCATTCGCACTTTGCAGGAAAGAGAAATGCCACAAAATTCATGCAAGCAAATAACTAAACAAACAAGGAACAAAAACAACCCCCAAGGAGAAACCAGACCCACCCACCCTGTGTGGTTAGAACATGGTCTATATTCAGTTTCCAGGATTCAGCCCAGAGTTGCATGTTATGCAAAAGTTCAATACATATTTTTTTAAAGATAGGTGTGTGTGGGGGGGTCAAATAATGGAGATTGTCTCTGATTTGGTCTAGATATTGAATTTAACAGGAAAGATCCCAAAGCAGTTACTATAAAGATATGGCGGGGGACCTCAAGGAAATCATATATACAAAACAAAAGAAAGTATGATCTTTAGCATTTAGCAAATAGAAGATATCAATAGTGATAGCCATTATAAAAAAAGAACCACATGTAACTTCGAAAGTTGAACTATACCATAATTAAAGCAAAAACCTTACTTTCCTAGGCATATTAATTCAAGATACTTGCATCATTCACAAATAACCAAAGGCTGAACACAACCCAAGTCCTCATCCACTGCTGGGTAGATAAGCAATATGTGACATAGCCCACCAGCGAAATACCAGTCTACAAGAAAAAGGAGTAAAGTACTGCTATATTTCACATAAAAAACTATGCTAAGTGAAATCATCCAAATGCAAAGACTACATATTATATGATTTTGAAAATATAAATTACAAGGTAAAGATAAATGTTATGCTTGGAAAATCAGTGAGTTGTGCTGGGGGACAGGGTGAAGGAGCCAGGTTTGATAACAAATTGACACAAGTGCTCTTTGGGGAGGGGGGCTGATAAAAGTGATCTAATGTTGAATAAATATAATAAATTCACTTAAAGGCATTCTTTAAATAAGTGATATAGTATATACTTATAGTACCCTCATAAAGTTAATAAAATGCTGTTATTCAAGTCAATATATATAGGGTAACTGTTATGGAGCAAGCTATACCACCTTTTTTTTCTGGTAAAGATTGTGTGTTTATGAAAAAACATTGTTTATTTAGCTTTTATTGCGTATCACTCTATCAAGGTCTTTAAGTATTAAAGAACATTCTTTGTGATTTTTACATGAAATATCATACTGCTTATCTCTTTTGGAAAAAGCAATCACCACAATGGCACTGGGAAATAGCAAGAAACTCATGTGAAACCTTTACTCCAAAGCTCAGAACCAGTTTTCTTACCCAGGCAGTTTGACTCCTAAATTAATGAATATACATTAGTATTCATTGACATATATTAAAATTACTATAATGCTGTAAATAATATAGTCTAGTCTCCAAATTAGTGCCTACATAAATATTTAATACCTATTAAGTTTAGTAATTTTTTAAGGATTACAATTTTATTATCTCTACTGTCAAAATGTACTTTATTTGATCTGCAATTTTCTAAAAGAAGTGACATATAATGTCTACCTTTTGACTAAGTAATGCATTGTTTTCATATTTTCATGTATTTACTAATATGATCTTAATTTATACTTAAAAATGTATAAGTCTATAATCATTTGCCGATCAAAGCTTCATTTTAGTACTACAAATGGTCAACAATCACAGAGAATATACTTTCCTTCCTTTGTTTAACCTATGAAATAATTTTTAACTGTCTGCCAGCATTTTCTTTTTAAATCAATTAGTAAGCTTTATTATTACCCATCAGGGGAGGTATTTTACAGACACACTGTGTAGAATCAGTAGGTTTTTCTAGTGTATACATTTACACACGGTGATTTTCTGGGCTAGGTCACAAATGGCATTTAGTTGAAAAGCTTACCACGCCGATGGAAAAGTAATTATTGATGATGCTGTAAGGCACTGGGTCCCCCTTCTCGTCTTTGTCATTAGGTATGACTTCAAACTTCCACCTGTCCAACAGGATTTCTGTGCTGTTTTCAATGTCCTTTAGGATTTTCATCAGATTCTCACCTTCATAACCTAATGGGAAAAAGAAACTGCCTTGAGAAAAATAAATCCAAATGACATGAAGTTTATACATTTGAATGTACATATGTGTGGATAGTATTCTAAAGTTAATAATGAATTTTTAAAATTAATTGTACATCAATACAGAGAATTTCTGTTATCCTCTTAGACTCATGCCGATTTTAATTTTAGCTTTCATTTATAGCCCATATTTCTATTCTAGGAAAAAGAATGATAGGCACTCTAGTATGTTCAAATTCTGCAAGAATAAATAAATGATGTTAAAGGTATATTTGTTTAATTAATTATGAGGTGGCCAAGTGACCTGAATAAGAACACTTTATTTTGAACACTCCAATATTTCTTATCTTCCATTGATTTTTAAAAAATGCCTTATTGAATAATGATGAGGATAATGAATAGTAAATAGCCCCAGATTAAACCCACGGAACAGAGTAGAACTGCCCACTACAGTTTCCATGGCTGTAACTACGCATGGAAGCAGAAAGTCACATTTCTCCTTCGGAGCGACTGTGGAGTTGCTCTGCTGGCTTCTTCTGCTAACAGCCCCATGCTGAAACCACTGAGGGACCGAGTCCTTAAGAAGAAATCTGCAGAATGAAACACCATGCTCTCATATACGATTCTACTAGTTATTTCATATGAACATATGTATATAAAATGTAATGGTACTCAGTGTCAAAATATTGAATAATTAAATAAGACTAAAAGATTTATCAAATATTTATATTTCAAATGTTATTTAATCACTGTGGCTTTTGAAAATATTTTGCATATAACAAAAATTTGTCAGATAACGAAGGCCTGAGGAATGGATGCAGAACATTGTGTGACATGGTGCGGGAGGAGGGGCCTGCTCCCTCAGAGTGCCCTCCATCATGGTCAGGTGAGTGGATTAAAGCCCGTGGGAGTGGAGCCTTCTTATCTTCATATGCTGATGGGACACGACTCCAGATAAAAAGAAAAAACTGGAAAAAGCCACTAACAATCGAAATATAGAATGTACAATGTATGTCTCTAGAAGAGTAGGATGTGACCAAAAATTAAATGAAATGCATAGAGTATAATATTCTAGGTATTAATGAGCTGAGATGAGTTGTTATTAGCCACTCTGAATCAGAAAATCATTTGGTTTACTATGTTGAGAATGCACTGCATTGTCAGAAGGGACATTTCTATATCTATTCTGAAGTATGATGCTGTCTGTGATAGGATTTTATCTATCTGCCTTCAGGGAAATCCAATCAATACAAGCCTTATTCAAATGTATGCAGGGAACATTAAAACTAGGGATGAGAAAATTGAAGAATCTACCAATGTCTTCATTTGGACATTGATCAAACATACAATCAAGATGCAATGATGCTTTTTGGCAGATGGAACAAAAGTGTTGGAAACAACAAGGGACGAACTGCAACTGGAGAATATGGTCTCGGTGACAGAAACACTGCTGGCGATCACAGGAGAGCAAGTTGCAAGAGTAATAACTTGCTCACAGCAAATAACTGTTTGGAAGATCTCAGATGGCTACTATACACATGCACTTCTCCAGGTGGAATACACAGACATCAAATGGACCCCATGTATCAGAGAGACAGGGAGAAGCTCTACAAATGCAGCTAAAACCAGGCCAGCGGATCACTGAAGAACAGGCCATTGTTCATCCACAAGCTGAAGTTGAAGCTGAAGAAAATTAAAACAAGTCCACGAGAGCCAAAATGACTTTGCGTCTGACCCACCTGAATTTCAAGAACCTCGGGAGAACGTAGCTGCTGAATTGAACACTGACGACAGACGACCTGATGAACAGGGGAGGATACTGAGGATATCTTTAGTGAGGAAAGCAAAAGGTCGTTAAAAAGACAGGAAAGAAAGGAAAGATCACAATACATGCCAGAAGAGGAACTTAATCTAAGAATAGCTAAGGAAAATGGAAGAAACAATGATAGTAAACAGCTAAGTAGAAAATTTGAAAAGGCAATCAAGAAGAAAAAGCAAACTTTGAATGAAATAAGCACCAATCCTGAATGAGGAAACCACAAAGGAAGAAATGTTCCGTAGATCACAAACTGGAAGAGAAAGAAGCAAGCTTCTCTGAGTGGCAATGTCGAAAGATTCTCTGGGTAAAATATTGAATGACGCTGGAGGCATCAAAAGAAGATATAAAGAACATAGAGGTCACTGTACCCAAAGGAACTAGTTGACACGCCACCATTTCAGAAGGTAGCACACAAGCAAGATCCAGTGGTGCTGAAGAAAGAAGTTCAAGCTGCACTGAAAACATTATGGAAAATGAAGGCTCCAGAAATTGATGAAATACCAATTGAAATGTTTCAACAGGCTGCTGAGGCACTGGGAGCCCTTACTTGTCAATCGCAGGAAATTTGGAAGCGAGCTCGTAGGCCTACATACTGGAGGGGAAAATCATATTTGTACTCATTGCAATGAAAAGGTAACGCAACAGAATTGGCAAATTACAGTACAATATCACGGATATCACATGCAAGAAATTTTGCTTTAGATCATCCAACAACAATTGCAGCAGTACATTGACAGGTACAATTGGTTCAGGTCTGATTCAGATGCTGAGCACCGAATATCATTGCTGGTGCCACACAGATCTTGGTCGAAAGCAAAGAATACCATAAAAATGTCCATTACTATAGCTAGGTGCCACCGAGTCAGTTCTGACCCACAGTGATACTACGTACAACAGACTTAAGCACGGTTCAGTCCTGCATCTTCCTCATGGTTGTTCATATACCTGAGCCCATTGTTGCAGCCACTGAATCAATCCATCTCATTGAGGGACTTCCTCTTTGTCAATGCTCCTCTAGTTTACAAAGCAGGGTGTCCTTCTCCAGGGACTGGTCTCTCCTAAAAAATGTCCAAAGTATGTAAGATGAAGCCTTGCCATCGTTGTTTCTAAGGGGCACTCTAGCTGTACTTATTCCATGACAGATGGGTTTGTCCATAGTTTTTTCAATATTCAATGTCAATGTTCTTCAGCGCCACAATTCACATACATCAATTCTTCTTCAGTCTTCCGTATTCACTGTCCGACTTTCACATGCATCTGAGGCAATTGAAAAAGCCATGGCTTGGGTCAGGTGCAGCTTAGCCCTTCGTAAAGTAACATTCCTGCTTTTTAACACCCTAAAGAGGTCTCGTACAGCAGATTTACCTAATGCAACATATCTTTTGATCTCTTGGCTGTTTACTTGTGTTTTATTGACTATGCCAAGGCATTCAACTCTGTGGGTCATGATACACTATGGATAGTCTTGAGAAGAATGGGAATTCCAGAATATTTAATTGTGCTCCTGTGAAACTTGTACATGACTCAAGAAGAAATTGTTTGAACAGAACAAGGGAATACTGTATAATTAAAATCAGAAAATGTGTGGACCATGGTGTGTCTGCTCACCTTACTTATTCAATCTGTATGCTGAACAAATAATTAGAGAAGCTGGATTATATTAAGAAGAATGTGACATCAGGATTGGAGGAAGGCTTATTACCACTATGCTATATGCAAATGACACAAACTTGCTTTGTGAAATCATGGAGGATTTGAGGAGCTTGCTGGAGATGATCAAGGATTGGAGGCTTCGGTATGGATTACAACTCAATATAGAGATGACCAAATTTCTCACAACTGAATCAATAGACAATATCATAATAAGTGGAGAAAATATTAAGGTTGCCAAAAATTTTGTGTTGCTTGGATCCATAATGAATGCTCATGAAAGAAGCAATTGAGAAATCAAAAGACGCATTGCATCGGGTAAATCTGATGCACAGACTACTTTAGAGGGTTGAAAAGCAAAGCCGTCACTTTGAAGATTAAGGTGCACCTGACCCAAGCTATTGAATTTTCAATGCATTCAGATGCATGTGAAAGTTGGGCATTGAAGAAGGAAGACTGAATTAGAATCAATGCTGTGGTGTTGGAGAAGAATATTTAAAGTACCATGGACCACCAAGAGGAGAAACCATCTGTCTTGGAAGAAGTACAGACATTGAGCTCCTTAGAGGCAAGGGTGGCAAGCCTTCATCTTACAGACTTTGGAGATGTATGCCAGGAGAAAACAGTCCTTGGAGAAGGACGTCATGTTTGGTAAAGTAGAGGGGCAGTGAAAAAGAGGAAGGTCCTCTGCAAGATGGGCTGACACAGTGGTGGCCACAGGGGCTCAAGCATGGGAACCCTTGTGCGGAAGGTGCAGGCTGGGGCAGTGTGTCGTTCTGTCGTGCATAAGTCGGTCGCTAGGGCTCAGACCTGACTCAAAGGCACCCAGCAGCAAGAACTATAAGCCTCATCTAAGCTTTATTTTCTGAGTGCTTTAATTATTTTAAGATTGAGTCCACAATAGCAATTTTATAAATGTGACCCTATTGAAGTCACTCAAAAGAATGATTCATGTAATTAATCTGTTTCAAACTAAATATGGTGGTTTTCAGGTATGAATGTACTTCTCTACAGATAGGCAAAACGTATTGCTTCTTGGGTTCCAGTTTCTATCTGCATAGGATTTCCCCCCCAAAAAATGATTACACCTATCTCTGTGATTACAGGTAAGTTATTTCAGTGATAGTCTTGTCTTATGTGAGTCTAAATTGAGAATTTAAAAATAGGGTCCAATCTAAAACAGTATCATCTGAGAAGATATGCAGGGCCAGATATATTCAAGGGAGATAGGTCAGCTCAGACATGATGGCAATTGTTTCTCAGCATTCCCAAAGGCAAATCTCAAAGATTCCCTCAAAAGGCAATGTGGTAGAGTGACATTTCTTTCTTAATATGCCTTTTCCCTTAGTTTCTGTAACCCCCATCATATGATTGATTGGGACCAGGCGAGTAGGAAGTGTAACGCTAATGTAGGGAGTGGGTTAGTTTGCATTGCCACCCTCCTGGCTATAAGAACAAGTCATCTTTGAAGACGCAGCAGAGAGAGAAAGCCCAGGATCATAAGAAGAGCATGTTCCAGATC